ATATAATATTTTAAAATATATTAATATATTATATATATATAAAATTATTATATATATAAATATATAAAAATATATATATATATAATATAATAATATATATAAAAATATATATATATATATATTAAAAATTATATAAATAAAAATATATTTTTAAAATAAAATATTTTTATATTAAATTTTAAAAAATATAAAAATAAAAATATATTTTATATAATTAATAAATTTTTTATATATTAAATATATAATAAAAAAATATAAATATATATTAATAATATAAATTTTTAAATATATATAAATATAATATATAAAAATATAAATTAAAAAATTTTTAATATATATATATATTATATATATAAAATTTTTATATATTTTATATATATTTATTTTAAAATATATAAAAATTTTAATATAAATAAATATATAAAAATTATATATATATTATAAAATATCTAAATATATAAATAAAATATTTTTATTATTTTATATAAAAAAATTATTAAAAATATATTTAAAATATTAAATATAAAAATTTTTAATAAAAATATATTTAATATATAAAATAATATATAAATTTATATAAATAATATATAATATTATTAAAATATAAAAAAAAAATTATATATATAAAAATATATTTATATATATATAAATATTATAATAAATATAATTTATATATATATATATTATATAAATATAATATTAAAATTTTTAATAAAATTAAAAAAATTTTATATATATATATAAAATTTTAAAAAATATTATATATATATATATAAAAAATAAAAAATATTTTAAATATTAAATAAATAAAAATTAAAATATAAAATTAAAAATAATAAATTATAAAAATTATATAAAAATTTAAATTTTATAATTTAAAATAAAAATATTATATTATAAAATTATAAAAATAAAATAAAATAAATATATATTATAAAAAAAAAAATAATATAAAATTTATAATTATATATAAATTATATATTAAAAAATATAAAAAATTAAAAAAAAAATTAAATAAAATAAAAAAAAAAAACAAAAAAAAAAAAAAACCAAAAAAAAAAAAAAATTATATAAAAAAAATTTTTCCAAATAATTTTAGGGACTTTTAAATTTTGGGAAGAAACAGGGCTAATTTAAAGCAAGTGGGGGAGGTATACCACTTTGGAGTGAGAAAGAGAATTAAAGGGGGGGGTCGGGGCATTACGAAAAAAAGGGGAAAAGCCGGAACTAGGGGACCCCATGACAGAAATTTTAAAAGCAGGGGGGATATATGTTGGAGGGGTTTGGTACTTCTGTTTTAAAGTATAAAGGGGGGAAGGTACCTAGGTTTGGGCGGAGAAAATTTTAGTCCTTTTATAAAAAGGGGGAAAGGGGAAAAAAGAGACTGTAAAAATTATAGGGGAATAAGTTTTACGGGTATCCCCAGGAAAAGGTACGGTAGGGTTATAATTGAAAAAATTTAGAGGTAAACAGAATGGGGGTTTGCGGATGAGCAAGAGGTTTTTTCAGAGTGGGTAGGGATGTGTAGATCAAGTGTTTACATTGAAGCATATATGTGAACAATATTTAGATAAAGGTAGGGAAGTTTTTATTGCATATATGGATTTAGAAAAGGCATATAAATAGAGTGGAAGAGGAGCAATGTGGCAGATGTTGCAAGTAATGGAATAGGTGGTAAGTTATTAAATGCTGAAAAGAGTTTTTATGAGGATAGTGAGGCTCAGGTTAGGGTGTGTAGAAGAGAGGGAGACTACTTCCCGGTAAAAGTAGGTCTTAGACAGGGATGTGTAATGTCACCATGGTTGTTTAATATATTATAGATGGGGTTGTAAAGGAAGTAAATCCCTAGGGTGTTCGGGAGGGGGGTGGGTTTAAATTTTGGGGAATCAAATTCAAAAGGGGAATTGACACAGTTACTTTTTGCTGATGATACTGTGCTTATGGGAGTTTCTAAAGAAAAATTGCTAAGGTTAGTGGATGATTTGGGAATGTGTGTAAAGGGTAGAAAGTTGAAAGTGAACATAGAAAAGAGTAAGGTGATGAGGGTGTCAAATGATTTAGAAAAAGAAAAATTGGATATCAATTGGGGAGGAGGAGTATGGAAGAAGTGAATGTTTTCAGATACTTGGGAGTTGACGTGTCGGGGGATGGATTTTGAAGGATGAGGTTAATCATAGAATTGATGGGGGAAAAAAGGTGAGTGGTGCGTTGAGGTATATGTGGAGTCAAAAAACGTTATCTATGGAGGCAAAGAAGGGAATGTATGAAGTATAGTAGTACCAACACTCTTATATGGGTGTGAACTTGGATGGTAAATGCAGCAGCGAGGAGACGGTTTTAGGGAGTGGAGATTTTCCTGTTTAAGGGCAATGTGTGGTGTAAATATTATGCAGAAAATTCGGAGTGTGGAAAATTTGGAGAAGGTGTGGAGTTAAAAAAAAGTATTAGTCAGAGGGAGAAGAGGGGGTTTTTGAGGTGGTTTGGTCATTTAGAGAGAATG